GCTGAAGACCGACTTCGATGTTCAAGTACGACAGAGAATGCCAGCTCAGCTCAACTTTGCTTTGAGGAGTGTCCACCTTGGTCTTCTTCGGTTTCTATAACAAAATGCCATAGATGGATTGGCTTAAACAATAGAAGTTTATTTTCTACCAGTTCTGGACCAAAGAGGTCTCAGATCAGGGTGTCGGCATGATCAGTTTCTGGGGAGAGCTCGTTTCCTTGTTCATAGACAACTGCCTTCTAGCCATGTGCTCACACGGCCTGTTTTGGATGCGTTACAGAAAGAGTGAGCTCCTTTGTCTCTTCTTATAAGGACACCAATTCTATTGGATCAGGGCCCCACCCTTATGACCTCATTTAACCGTAATTTTCTCTTTATAGACCCTATTCCCAATACAGCCGGAATGGGAGTCAAGGCTTCAACATACAAATTTTAGAAGGACACAATTCAGTCCATAAAGGTGTCTTTTTAAAAATGTTTATGTATTTTGAGAGAGAGAGATAGAAAGGGAGCAGGGGAAAGGCAGAGAAAGAGAGAGAGAGAGAGAGAGAGAGAGAGAATCCCAAGCAGGCTCTGCACCAACAGCATGGAGCCTGATGTGGGGCTTGAACTCACACACTGTGAAACATGACCTGAGTGGAAATAAAGAGTCGGACGCTTAATTGACTAAGCCACCAGGCACCCCCTCCCCTAAGATATTCTTAAAGACACTTTTCTGGGCGCCTGGGTGGCTCAGTCAGTTAAGCGTTCGACTCTTGATTTGGGCTCAGGTCATGATCTCACAGTTGTGAGTTCGAGCCCTGTTTCGGGCTCTCTGCTGACATCTCATTGCCTGGGGTCTGCTTTGGATACTGTGCCTCCTTCTCTCTCTGCTCTGCTCCTAGTCGAGCCCTGTCTCTGTCTCTCAGAAATAAATAAACATTAAAAAAGAAAGTTAAAAAAAATATCTTGGGTGACTTCGTCTGGGTTACTGTTTTTGAACATCATTAGTTTTGATTATTTCAATGAGAACAACTTGATTGGCCTCAACTATTAATGTAAGAGATGGGAAAGAAGCCAGACAAGAAAAGAAATGAAGTGGAGAATTCTTATTCTGCAGATAGGCGCCTATTCTTATTCCTCTATTCATTTGGAAAGGGACATAATGGTCTCTAAGCTTCCCCAGTTTCAACCAAGACCATTCTCATTTGTTTCATTAGATATCAGCATTATGCAGAAAACTTGTATGAATAAAGTATGAAAAATTACTTAAAAAAATAGTTTGAAATCCATGGGTTCAGAAAAGGAATCGGCAGAATGTTCCTTCTGTGGCTACCTGTATTTGTAATTATAATTTTATTGGCAAAGGAGTGCACCTATTTGTTCACGCAGTGTCTATGACTGCTTTTGTTAGCAGGGCAAATGTGAGTGCTTGTGACAGGGACCATGTGTGACCCGTAAGCTTAAAATATTCACCGTCTGGCTGACGGTATTTGCGGACCGCCAGTCCAGAGAGATGGTCTACTTTTGAAATCCACATGATTAGCTCCCTCATTAACTTCTTTTTTTATATAAATTTTTAAATTATTTATTTATTTATTATTGACACAGAGAGAAACAGCATGAGTAGGGGAGGGGCAGAGAGAGAGGGAGACACAGAATCCGAAGCAGGCTCCAGGCTCTGAGCTAGCTGTCAGCACAGAGCCCGATGCGGGGCTTGAACCCACGAACTGCGAGATCATGACCTAAGCCGAAGTCGGACGCTTAACCGACTGAGCCACCCAGACGCCGTGCTCCCTCATTAACTTCAAGTCTTGTTCTTCAGGTCTCAGAAGCATCTCTTGACCCCACGGGCTAGGCCAAGTGGTCCTCTAATGCGCCTCCGTGGTTACCTGTGCTTATTCCTACCTGTCGCATTCTCGTATTGCATGTTCTGTAAATGGTCCTTTACTTGGTTCGTTTGTATTTGTGAATAGAAGTGGCTTGAATGCAGTGGGAATGTCAAGGCTTATTCTCTACTGTATCTCCAGTATCTGTCATAGGGTCTGGAACACAGTATTTAGTATGTGTTGAATGAATGAATGAATGAATGAGAAATGCATTCAGTGTTCAATTCAGCAAGTATTCGTTAAGTACTTATTACATACCAGACACTTGTGAAACCCTAAGGACACAGTAGGAAGAAGAAAAGAGAAAACATTGCCCTTGTCGAGTTTACGTTAAAGTAGGGAAAGTGAATCACAAAGAAGTTGAGACAGTTTTTAAAAATAGATGTTTGTGGGGCGCCTGGGTGGCTCAATCAGTTAAGCGTCTGGCTTTGGTTCAGGTCACGATCTCATGGCTCATGAGTTCGAGCCCCACCGTGGGCTCTGTGTCGACAGCTCAGAGCCTGGAGCCTGCTTCGGATTCTGTGTCTCCCTCCCTCTCTGCCCCTCCCCTGCTCGTTCTCTGTCTCTCTCAAAGATAAAGATTTAAAAAAATTAGATGTTTGTTTATGATAATTACTAAGGAGAAAAAAAATAAAACCAGGAAGGGCCATACGAAAGGTTGGTGTTGGGGGTGTGGGAGGGGTTGAATTAAAACTTTAGATAAGGTTGGCGAGAAAAGTACAACTGGGAAAGTAGGTAACCTTGGAGGACAGACCTGAAGGTTGTGATCAATACACATAATAAGAGTTTAAATATCCTGTGAGTAGGAGGGGAATAGAAATTCTTGTCAAAGTTCATAAATAATAAAAGTAAAACTGATGAATCACTGACGTAGTTGGTAACGGTTTATTGTGCATACACCAAAAAGTTTGCAGACCAGATCACTCAAACCAAAGCCTGGAACGAGGCCCCCGAGCGCATCGTTCTAAAGCAGCTTACGTAGGGAGAAGGCGGTGACTTCCTCACAGCCACTGGTTCTAATAATAATAAAATTTCCTTGAATGATAGGGGATTGGTCAGTGGTTCTCTCACATTAACCTTGGGAAAGTTTAAGTTTGGCTTCTGATTTCCAGGGGCCATAGGCAAGAAATGACCCAGGTCGTTAGAAAATAAGCTGAGTTAAGCTTTGTAGGAGCAAACTTGTTGTGTCTGCCCGGGGAAGTTTTGAGGCTGGACTCTTTTTTATTTTAATAATTTCACCCCTTTGGGTCATTCTTTGAGCAGGCGGGGAGCATGACCCGCCAGGACAGTGTTATCTTGGTGACTACCGTTGATAGAGTCAGGCCCACGAACCACATGGTTGATGTTTCAGTTCAGTTGTCAGGTCAGAGATCGTGTAGTCACTGTCTTCATCAGTTCTGTGGTTATCAACTGATTTCATCCAGTTGTCTGGTCCTGATGGGTACCATATGGCGTTTGAGTGGCTGCTGACAGGCATTTAAAACCCTCAAGAGTCGACAGTGCACTACGGGGTGAATGTGAGTGTAAGGACGACAGTAGTCAGGGATCGACATCTCTCCCAGGGCAGAGGTTCCCAGGGGCCAAGATTTAACCAATTAAATAACTCCAGTGTGTTACAGTTTTTTTTTTAATGTTTGTTTATTTTGAGAGAGAGTAAAGCATGAGCAGGGGAGGGGTAGAGAGAAAAGGAGAGACAGAATCCCAAGCAGGCTCCACGCTGTCAGCACAGAGCCCAGTGCCGGGCCCGACCTCGGGAACCATGAGATCACGACCTGAGCTGAAATCAGGAGTGGGATGCTTAACTGACTGAGCCACCTACGTACCCTGTGTGTTATAATTTTTTGTCGAGTTTATTTATTTTGATCGAGTGACAGAGCAAGCGAGCTCGGAGGAGGGGCAGAGAGAGAGGGAGACAGAATCCCAAGCAGGCTCCACACCCAGTGCTTGACCTCATGATTATGGGATCACCACCTGAGGCAGCATCAGGAGTGAGCCGCTTACTGGACTGAGCCACCCAGGCCCCTTTGCACTGTAACTGTTGAAACGTTACCTACATGCAGGCAGCGCACACGGAGCTGTACGGTTCCATGGGGCAAGCCGACCGCGAGGACGGTTTAGTTCCGGAGGCAGGGGTGCGGGTGTGCTTCCACCCCAGTCATGAGTAATCAGCTCATTTCATTCGAGACATTTCTATGGAAACCAAAGAACACAAAGGTTCCTGGTTGGAGCAAACTATCAGTTCAGTTTCCGAGTTTGGAGGGCAGCCAGTCGGAACCGTTTCTAGATGTCAGGCTCAAACCATCCTCAGGTGGAGCGAGGGCAGGCGGTGGCAATCTGACCCATTTCCCTGGTCTGCAGAGTGGCTGTCCTGGTGATCCTTCTAATGGCCGCACAGCAGGCAGCATGCAGACTGTCCACACGTGAGCTCTTGTGATTTCTCTGAGGTTTGTATCAGGCTGTCCAGCTTCAGCGTGCACGTGAGAGGAAAAAACTAAAACTGACGGGAGTAAATTGGAAATAACTAGTTTGAGGGGTGCTAGCCAAACGTAAAAGGAATTCAGGATCCCGTCCATCTTACAGGTAGACAACAAAAACCTCAAACACAATAAATAAATAGCATTAGAATCTGGTGCCCACAAAGGTGTTGTGCTGAAATATAATTTTTCTCTCTGTAATCATCCCCGTTTCTGTCAAAGATAACCACAGTGAGACTGATTTGTTTGCAAATTAAATCTAGTTTCACTAAACTGGGCAGGCCGTGAGAATAGTGATTTTGACCACACAGGCTTTTTAAAATCTGCTCTGCTGTAATTCTTCATAAGGAGTCTCAGATTAGACTTGCAAAAGCCTCTGGGCAAGGAAGCCAAGTAAAGCCCTTGTCTTCTTGTGTCCTGTATAAGAACGGATTCTTACTGAACTTATGCAAATACATGTATTGTCGTGAAAAAATGAGAACATTTAACAAAAGTTTCTGAATTCTGGAGGGATCCGGTAGGAAGGAAAAGATAAGTGTTTCACTTTTGTGGCAACGATGCCCTTTACCAGATTGGTATAAGTTATAACTTATATGACTTTTATAAGTAACTTATAACTTTTATAACTCACAAAAGAAGAGGAAAAGGGAAGGGCTCTATGGACTCAGACCAAGATTGCAGTGACTTAGCTAAAAATGCCCCCTTGAAGGTTGGAATTATCTGGAAATATGGGACCATTATGGTGCCTCACTTAGGAACACAAGGAGAAAATTGAAATAAACCAGTACTCCCTGCACACCTGCTCCTTGTGTGGCCAGACCGAGCTGAAAACATGGGTGACGTGGCACTGTGGTTTGGGCATGCAGACAGTTACTGGTGGTGTCTGGCTCTTCGAGGGCACAGCGAAGTCGGCCCTCAGAACATTGAAGGAGCTGAAAGACCAGTAGGAGCTCTACCACGTGAAACATTGCTGGCCTGTAATACATGGCTTAATTTTTGTAAGAAAATTACAGTAAAACCTTGGATTGCGAGTCACTTGTTCTGCGACTGTTTCGCAAGATGAGCAAACATTTCTAATACATTTTAACCTGATAAAGCAGTGACGTCTGGCAATATGAGTAGCGTGTGATGCTGAGCATCATGTGATCACAAACTGAGCCAATGGTTCTTGAAATTCACGTTGACATGCACGTGCTTTGGATGACAAGGGTGTTTCTGGGATGAATTATGCTCACAAACCAAGGTTTTACCTTGGGCTTGTTACAAGATTTATTAATTACATGTTCAGATTTCCATTGTGTTAATCTTGCTTACTTAAAAAATTTGGAAATTAAAATCCTTCTAATTTTTATTGGTAAAGAAAAGAATAGAAAAAGGAGTCCTTTAAATCTGGAAAATAAAACATTGAGGAACTAGTAATGTTTTAAATGAAGCCATAAAAATTATAGTCCTCTTCATTGTTTCATTCAGTGTTTTCTTTTTTTTTAAGTTTATTTATTAATCCTGAGAGAGAGAGAGTTCTAGCAAGGGAGGAGCAGAGAGAGAGGGAGACAGAATGCCAAGCAGGCCCTGCACTGTCAGCCCAGAGCCCTAAGTGGGGTCTGAACTCACGAATCAGGAGATCATGACCTGAGCCTAAACCAAGAGTCAGGTATTTAACCAACTGAGCCACCCAGGTGCCTTTCATCAGAGTTATTTCTTAATTAATTCTTGTTTTCCTTCATCTTGGGTTAACAGCTTTATGAGCCAGTTTTCCATTAAAGTTTTTTATTTGAAGTAGGCTCCATGCCCAGCGTGGGGCTTGCACTCACAACTGTGAGGTGAAGAGTTGCTCGCTCTACTGACTGAGTCAGCCCAGTGCCCCTGAAGTTTTAGAAATCCTTATCCCGTTCACTTTTATGATCTTAAAATTAATAAAATCCTACATTTTACAATACTTGTCATTCTCTTTTCCGTGAATTTTTTTTGAAGATGCATCATTTTTGCAGGAATACTTTTGCAGAAGCATCAGAGTAAAAAAATGTAAATGACAGAAAACTTTAAAAATAGCCATGATCAGGGGCACCTAGGTGGCTCAGTCGATTGTCTGACTTTGGCCTGGGTCATGATCTCCAGGTTCATGGGTTCCAAGCCCCACATCGGGTCTGTGGTGACAGCTTGGAGCCTTGATCTTACCTTCGATTCTGTGTCTCCCTCTCTCTCTGCCCCTCCCCCAGCTCATGCTCTGTCTCTTTCTGTCTCTCAAAAGTAAATGAACATTAAAAAAATTTTTTTAAGTGGGCATGATCAAAGATCTGGTGTGAGTTCATACACAAAAATGATACAGTTGACCTAATTATTCATATTACTAAGTTGACAAAGGATCTGAGGCAAATACAGAAAGTTACATAGCTGTACTACAAAAGACCCCATAGGTCTTTTAATATTGAAATGACTCAGGTTTTTCCCCTAAGTATTCCAAGATCTCAGAAGGACAATATGAAAAACAGGAAATTACTTTCATTAAGACACAGAATCCTAGAATCTTTGTTTCCTGGGCAGATTACATTGAAGGTAAAGAAAAACTTTTGTTGGCAATTCCTTATTAAGAACATACTAATAATCTAAAAAAAAATGATTTAACAAGGAGAAAACCAAATTCTAATTTTTTACCAGTACAATACTTTGATATTAAAGCTCTTTTTTTCCTAAACTTAAATCCATTCCAACCTTAGCTTAAGCACACATATATCCATTAAGTTTTGTCCTGTCCCTTTCCTTTTCTTACTCTGAAATAATCATTTTAATTCAGGACAAAATTCTTTTCTTTTTTTCCTTCCCAAACTACAAGAACAACAAAAAAGTCCATGTCCTTTATACATTTCCTTATCCAGAAAACACATCTTGTTTGCCATACCTAACTTTTCATATACAATCATCTTCTTTCACCCTCATTTCTTTTTCTTAGAGTGAGAGAGAGAGAGAGCAAGAGAGAGAGTGAGCGAGCATGTGAGCATTCGAGTGGGGGAGAGACGGGGGTGGGGGGTGGGGGGAGAGAATTCCAAGCAGACTCTACCCTCAGCACTGACCGCAGGGTGGAACTTGGCCCTCAACCCTGGGTTCATGACCTGAGCTGAAATCAAGCGTTGGACGCTCAACGGACTGAGCCACCGAGGCGCCCCTTAAGTTATTTTTCTCGTTGAAAAACTTTGATGATGCGGAGATGCATAGACTTACTTGATTAGTAAACCTAGGTAGAAAAATGTTGTATGTTCGCATTGCATTTAACGTTGACAGCGCCAAAGGCATCTACCTTTTATTTACCAGCGATTATTCCAGATTATGTGAAATTTAGAAACCATTTGGGTTAGTCTCTTTGAGTGCATACTTGACTCATATAAATATTTAATTGTCTTTAATCTAATTAAATAGAGCTCTTTACAGTTAATTTTGGCAACACCATCCAGAGGTACAAAAATACCGCATCATCTATAACATATATACGTGGACATACGTAAATGGACAGATACACAGAGATTGTATAGCTGTGTTTTTTTTGTTTTTGTTTTTTTTTTGTTGTTTTTTAAATCCAGGTCTCAGGGGTACAAATCTCAAAAGAACAGCTGGATCCAAGTTGTGTTTCTGGCAGATGGACTATCTTAAGGTTACCTGTTCAGATGGCTGAAATTTTCTAAAGATTTTTAAAATTTGCATCCTTTAAGGATCTTTTTAGAGCTACTTTTGGAGTCATTTTGTGTTTTAGAAGCTTCTGCATACCAAGTGAAGAATGCGTTCTGTTGTCTCTGAGCAGTTTGGAATCCTCTCTTTTAAGGATGCTCCTTAAGGTAGACCTGTCAAAGTAGCCACTACAGTTCCAAAAGTTCCCCCCTTTCCCAAAAAGGTTCAAGAGCCAGGTCAGTCGACCAGGTGGAACCCATCTTTGCCTTTAGATTTTCCAAGGCCTCTTCTCCAACAGCTGTTCGAAAACAGGTTCCCTCCCTTTCTAAAACCATGGGATGATTTAACAGGAAGATTCCCCATGCAATAAATGCACAGTCAAGTCAGTGCGCTCAGAACGCAAAGAGCATGGAGTTCAGATCCATGAGAGGCTGAGCCTCAAATTCCAAGGTCAGCAAGAAAGCAGTGAGCTCAGTGGGTGCTGTGGGTATCGGCACTTGTTTGTTCCCTGGCCTCCGAGGCATTGGGAGTGTTCTTTGGATCTTACTTGTGATGCCATAAAATGTCCAAAGTTTTAAATAACAAAAGTAAAAGCAATGAATCACTGAAGTAGTAGTTAGTAAATGTTTATTTTACAGACACCAGAAAGACTGTTTGCCGACCTGGAGCGCTCAAACCAAAGCCTGAAATAACGCTCAGGGCTATACTGGTAGAAAGCAGCTCATTATACTGAGCGGACAGTGACTGTTCATTCCTCACGGTGGTGATTGATTATAATGTTAGATTTTCCTTTAGATGCTAGGAATTGGTCAGTGGTTACTTCATATCAACCTTGGGAAACGGTGTAAGTTCACTTATGATTGATTTCCAGAAGACTCAGCAAGAAATGACCCGGGTCAAGTTGGTCTTGCAGAATCAGCTCAGTTAAGCTTTGTTTGTATACTTACGGTTTTCTTTTGTTTATTTTATTTATTTATTTTTCTGCCCAGGGAATTTCAAGGCAGGTCTCCATTTGTTTTTTATGTTAACGTTGGAAAACAACCTCCAGATTGCTGGGAGAGATCTTGGCACACATAGGGACTTGAAAGACATCCAGAAAGCCTGCAGTTATATGATGCTCTAATTCTTAAAAAGGAAGTGTGATAGAGAGAGGGACTCAAACGTATCTAGTTCTAGTGCTTTCAACAAAGAAAAGGGATCACAGAGTAAATGGTTACAGCTATCAAATAAAACGTGAAGGCTAGTGTGCCGCGTTAGAATCTACTGGGAATCACTATATGTTGAAATGATGTACAGAGACTGTTGCTTCGTTTTCTTTTGTTTATTTTAAGATTTTATAGGTCTGTAGAAAAGAGGGCATGCAGGAAAAGGGCAGAAATTGATAAACAGTCTCGATTAACTATAAACACAACCTTCCCAATATTAACTCCCATAAGGTAACTGAACAGTATGGTTTAAGAGTCCTGTAGAGTGCTGTTGGACAGAGGAAATGTAGGCATTCGTTCTTAAATTCCTTTATTTGCATAATTTATGTTGTTGTGGAGATGACTTAGGGGAGAATATGCTCTCAAGACGTTTTCCTCTAATATAAAAGAGAGCATATGTACACCGATAACGAAAACATGGGCTCTGATTGGAAGAGGTGACGTGATGTATGTGCTTTCTGGAACCAGCATTCCTGGGCTCAAATCTTAGACACTGATACTTTCTGGGTGAACTTGGTCATCGATATATGCATCTTTGTCTCAGGTTTTTAAAATGTAAAATGGTAAACATGCTAACTGCCTCGTAAGCTTATATATGATCTTAGAAGAGTGTCTGGCATGTGGTAAGCACAATATTAGTGCTTTCTCTTAATTTAACATTGACAATATTACTACTGAACTGTTTTTATTTATTTATTTATTTATTTATTTATTTATTTATTTAATTGAGAGAGAGAGAGAGAGAGTTTGCGCTTGCATGGGGTGGGGGGGCAGAAGGAGGAGAAAGAAAATCTTAAGCACGCTCCAAGGCCAGCCCAGTGCCCGACGTGGGGCTTCATCTCATGAGCCAAAATCAAGAGTCAGACACTCAACCACCTGAGCCTCTCAGGTGCCCCTGAACTGTTTACTAAACACCCAGATGGAGAAAAAAATTAGGTAGTTGGGATTCCAGAGAGAGGTGCAGGGTAGGGATGTAATTTTGGTAGTCGTATGCATATAGTTGTTCTTTAAAGCAAATGGACTAGATAAAGTCACCTAGGGAATGCTTGTAGATGGATAGATAACAGGATATTTCTGAGCATGGA